GGCCAAGCATTTTTCTTAGAAGATTGGAAACAAACAAACGCTGCAGTGACGCAGATCAAAGAAGGCACTCAGAAAGTATCTATAGCTCCTCTATGTCTAGAACTAGAGTGACTACAGATAATTTCCAGCTTACAATTGTTCATTTAGTGACCGCTCAAAGTTACAACAGCACTGAAAAAAGTGACTTATGACCACGTTTCACATGAACGTTTCAGTGTCCCCATGGTCATGGGATCACAGTTTGGCAACCGATTCATATTGATGATGGTTGCAGTGTCCCAGGATCCTCTTTTGCCTCCTTCTGAGAAGCAAAGTCAATGGGGAAGCCACCTAACCACTGTGTTACTAGCAATAGCAATAGCATTTAGACTTATATACCACTTTATAGTGCTGTACAGCCCGCTCTAAGCAGTTTACAGAATCAGCCTTTTCCCCCCGAGAATCTGAGTCCTCATTTTATCCACCTCAGAAAGAGGGAAGGCTGAGTCAATCTTGAGCAGGTCAGGATCGAACTGCTGGAAGTGGGCAGAGTTAGCCTGCAATACTGGACAGATGGATGGATGGACAGATGGATGATTGATAGAAAGAAGGGCAACAGCAATAGCACTTAGACTTATATATACCACTTTATAGTGCTTTCCAGCCCTCTCTAAGCGGTTTAGAGAATCAGCCTCTTGCCCCCAACAATCTGGGTCCTCATTTTACTGACCTAAGAAGGATAGAACGCTGAGTCAACCTTGAGCCTGGTTAGATTCGAACTGCCAAATTGCAGGCAGCCGGCAGTCAGCAGAAGTAGCTTGCAGTACCACTGCGCCACCGAGGCTCTTTTCTAACTTAACTGCAGTGATTCATTTAACGACTGTGGCAAGGGAGGTCATGAAATGGGGCAGAACTCACTTAACCAGTGTCTCACTTAGCAATAGAAATGTTGGGCTTAACTGTGGTCATAAGTTGAAGACTACCTGCATTCACTAAATTTGTGCACGCGCACAAAAATATCTTCCACAAAGTGATTTATGTGCCTGGAGAAAGGGGCGAGTTAGGAGAAGATGGGGGAAACCAGGATGCCTTCTAGATGCAGAAAACATGTCATTTCCAGAGTGGCCAGGGAAGGCTTACTGAAACACTCTTGAGTGGATTGGTAAAAGGTCATAAAAGGATGGAGGTGGAGGAGAATCCTGGGAAAGAGACACACCTATTCACCGCGGATGGACATAAGGACATCTTCCAAAGAGGGCAACATTCTGCTAACGTGAGAGATTTCCAGCCAAGTGTAATGAATACCCTTATTTAACTCCAATGAAAGGGAAGGTTTTAATTT